GAAGTTATGCTGCAAATTAATTCCTTTAATAAGTTAAGAATTTCTAAAAATCAATGTTTATTCAAATGACCCCTTATGGTAAGATAGGTATATGTAAAATGCAGGTACGTTTAGTTATACTTGGGACATTGACTGTGTGATATTACTCATGCGGATTCCGATGAGTGAACGAGATTTTGCACGTAACACGAAAACGTTCGCGCGACATTTAAATGATATAGTGGGAATGTCACGGAAATAAATCACATTCTTAATGGCACCCTTACCCGTACTGTGGGTTGCGAGGAAACCTTTCCTCTGGACGGAAGCGTCGCTCTTAAACACCATGTACATCTGATTTCCAGTTGCCAAGATTGGATGCGGCTCTTTGGTGCCGCAGAATTTGCCCAGCACGTGACTATCCGGCGAATCGCCGTCATAAATGGCGATATGATCGTAGTTGCATTCTTGATGCGACTCCATCTCGAAAACTTTGAAAATCTGTAAAAGATTTCGAAATTACGTATATATCTGCCGTTTGATAGTTTCAAGGTCCGAACAATCGTGCATTTCGATATATTTTCAAAATGATATCAAGTCGTTGGAAGATCGTTCGTTGTGTAATTTTTGTCTCACAATTTTCCCCTTATCTTCTTCTCGTCAAATGTAATCTCATTAATCTTCAATTGAAAGAATTCAACTGTGCAACTTGAAAGTCACACGTTCGAGTGAATGATTCATTTGTAGATTTACAAAAATACGAATAAATCGTCAGACTTTAAATTGGAACTAAGTAGTTAATTAACTAATTGATCTGTTTCTCTCATAAGTAAATGAAATTCCATTTATGGCCTGAAATTTTACATTCGAAATCCACGACTTTGTCACTTTGTCTTTCTTACCGAACCAATATACGATTTACGTGCAACTGACAGTATCCAGGGATAAGGATAATTAATAATCACGATGATAAACTTCTCAGGTACTAACTAATTTGATACGATGTCCTGGCTTGGTAACAAAGTGCCAGACGCAATCCTTGAGGCCGGGATAATAGTCTGGATAGTTGGGCGATGTTATAGTGCCCATTGGTGCGACGATTTCGTACTTGCAACCGCCTTCCTTGCAGTCGTGTCCATTTTCGTGAAGTGTAAAGCCGTTGTGACACGAACATTGATAAGAGCCTATTGTGTTTCTGCACTCGTGTTGGCAACCGCCGTTGTTGTTCGCGCATTCGTCCATGTCGGTGAAGAAAACAGCGGCGAAGCCGGTTTTCTGAATACTGCAATCGCGAATGACGTGAAGATCAGAAGAAAGAAAAGAAAAGAAAAGAAAAGAAAATTAGGCATTTATTAATTTATTAAATATATTACCTATTATCAGATGTGAACGTCACTCTCAGAGAGTTCCCCTCTGAGATAATTAACGATGGTAGCCTCGAGCCGCAGAAAATCCCATGTTTCCTCAGAAGATCGTCTCCAAGCTTGCTGCTCACTTCCACCGAATCGTACTCGCAATCCTGTTGACGAGCATTGTTCCCCTCCAGATCGAAATGCGTGAAATTCAGCGTGATGCGATACTGAGGTGGCGCTATAATTTCCCAGACGCAATCCTTGTTCCCCGGATAAGTCACCGGAAACGAGGGACTCGTGATAGTTCCGTTCCTGTCCTCGAACACTCCGCCACAGGCATCTGACGCATGTAAAAACGTACGTCAGTCGACGCGTGCAGGGCAAATCGAAATTCTAATTTACCGCGGTTCTTAGATAATTAGAGATTGTAGACGGAAAAACAAAAGATAGAGATAGAGATAGAGAGAGAGAGAGAGAAATTTACCTTCGCAGTGCTTCCCATCCGAGTGTAACTCGTAGCCAGGCTTGCAAGAACATTCGAATCCACCCAGAGTATTGATGCAATTATGTTCGCAGCCGTGCTCGATCAAAACACACTCGTCGAATTCTAAAGGATCGATCAGAAGCATCGATTAAAACCGTCGTCTGCATTTATTCGAGGGAGGGGAGGGATGGCGACTTTTTTCTCATTTACTCTTCGTTCGAGCCTCTCTTAAAATTCATTCGCTACCGCTAGCGAAGAGACATTTCAGCCGGGGATTACTAGCGTAAGATAAAAGGATGAAGGAAATCCAATCGGCAGCCCCATTGAAGCCCGATCGAACGTGAAAACGAGGGAGAACTGTACCGTACCTTTCATGAACGTCGCCGAGAACCCAGCCTTCTGCACCGAGCCGTCGCTAACGAACTTCACCAGAAGTTTGTTGCCGGTGGACTTAATGTCCGGCGGTATCTTGTAACCGCAGTAAACCCCGATCAACGGCGAGTCCGCGTTATGGCCGTCCCGCACCTCCACGTAGTCGTACACGCAATTGTCGTGGTTCTCGATCTCGAACGACTGGAACTTCAACGCCACTTGGAAGTTCTGCGGCACGGACAACTTCCAGACGCACTCCTTGCTGGACTGGTAGCCCTCCGGGTAGTTGGGCGACTCCAAATGGCCCGTGTCCTCCACTTCGATCTCGCCGCCGCAAACCGCTTCGTAGCTCGCGGTGAATCCATCGTGGCCCGTTTGGTGGCTCGATGTCACGTATGTGACCAGCATTCGACTTCCCGTCGACACCACCGGCTCGTGGATCTTCCCGCTTCCGCAGTAACGACCTGCGTTTCGCCATTTAACTGCTTTTACATTTTTTTCTTTTTTTTTTGGCCCCCCCCCCCTTAAGTAGTTATCACGTCCCGTGCCAAGCGATTTTTGCCTTTTGTTGTCGTTCAGGCCATTTGACTAAAGGTTGATATATCATCACACAATCTTTCGTTACATCATCAATCGATAAGTAGTTCTCTTCTTTAGAGTAGCTATCACATCG